GGACCTTTAGCCTGTTAGGTAAACACATTCCTTCCTGGGATTAATTAGTCATGCTTAGAGATGTAATTCATCATGTAAAATACCAGAGCTGTCTTAGTGAAAAATTCTTAGTGATGCAGGAACATCTCTGAGCCCATTGTCACTGCAGTCTGACTTACCCTTCTGTTTCCCCAGCAGTTTGTAAATTATAATTAAGATTTACATGAAGTATGGGCAAATCTAAAGAGTGGCTGTATAATTGAATGCACCTTAGAGTGTCAGTTTAACTCATTGTCCTTTGCTTCTGCCTTTTTGTTATTCTTTTCTTTAAACCTTTTTGTCAGGTCCAGCAGCATTTCTTTTACACTTTTTTATTATATATTTAAATTAGGAACAAGCCTGCTTCCCATGTCTGTCCCAGCTCCCTCTTCCTCCCCTCCACGCCTACTCCCCCCCAGCCCCCTCAGCCCCCAACCCAATCCGCATTCCATTCCCCTGGGAGGGTAAGGTCCTCCGTGGGGGATCTCTAGGGTCTGTCATTTCGTTCCAGGGAGGGCTCAGGCCCTCCCCAAAGTGTCCAAATTGAGAAAGCATCCCTCATTGTGGGATGGGTCCCCAAAGTCCATTTGTGTGCCAGGGATAAATACTGATCTACTACCCAAAAACCCCATAGATTGCCTGAGTCTCCTCACTGACACCCACATTCAGGGGGTCTGGATCAGTCCCGTTCTGGCCTCTCAGCCATCAGTCTGGGGTCCATGAGCTCCCCCTTGTTCAGGCAGCTGTCTCTGGGTTTCACCAGTCCAGTCTTGACCCCTTTGCTCATCACTTCTCCCTCTCTGTCACTGGGTTCCAGGGGTTCAGTTCAGTGTTTAGCTGTGGGTGTTTGCCTCTGCTTCCGTCTGTCACTGGATAGAGGTTCTAGGATGGTGTGTAAGACAGTCGTTAAAATCATTATTAGGGAGGGGCATTTAATGTAGTCTCTCTACTACTGCTTAGTTTGCCAGTTGGTGTCATCCTTGTACATCTCTGGAGTTCTCACTAGTGCCAGATCTCTCCTCAATAGAATGGCTCCCTCTATGTTATGAGGATGTTATCTCTCATTCTGCTTTCCTCTCTTCTTCTCCCAACTCAACTTTCCTGCTCCCCCATGTCCTCCTCTCCCTTTCTCTTGTCTCCCTCTCTTTTTCCTGGCTCCCTTTCCCCTCCCCCACCCTGTGAGCTTGCCTCATTCCACCTTCTCTGGGGTACCATGTATATCTCTCTTAGGGTCCTCCCTGTTTCCCTCTCGTTCTGGCAGTGGGATTGTAGACTGGCACTCCCCTGATTCATGTCTAAAATCCATATATGAGACAGTACATGCCATGTTTATCTTTTTGTGACTGGGTTACCTCACTCAGGATGGTTTCTTCTAGTGCCATCCATTTGCCCCAGCAGCATTTCTTAAAAGGAAAAAATCGGGGTGGTGGTGGCACACACCTTTAATCCCAGCATGTAGCAGGCAGAGGCAGGCAGATCTCTGTGAGTTCAAGGTCACTCTGTAGAGAGTGAGTTCCAGGACAGCCAGAGATGCCCAGGGATACCCTGTTTTGACCACCTTCCCCCCCCCAAAAAAAAAGAAAGAAAGAAATATCGGTGTGCTGTCACATGATTAGGATGAAGTTCTCAGTTTGGGATTGAGGCAGGAAAAATAGTAATTACTATATATGGTAGAAGGAAGCTGGACTTTGGTGTCAAGTGTATTCATCTTTAATTCCAGCTCAGATTCCATTAGCTGTGTGCCTGTATGCAAATACTCCTATCTCTGGACCTCTGCTCATGTATCTGTCATGATAAAGGGTCATGATACTGTCATGTTCACTATACTATGTTAAGGCTATCACAGACTGTACTTACTATGTGACCACTGCATTGCTTCTGTTTGTTCTCTCGGTCTCACATTTACCTCCTTCCCCATGTTCTGGACACAAGGCAGTGGGGATGTATACATTTCTGGGCTTAGTATTAATATTTCACATGTGAAACATGTCTCATCAGCAACGACTGTCCACAATATCATAGATCATTTTTTCACGACAACTGCATTGTAGTGTCAGGTGTGGTGATGCTTGGGTGTTAACCCTTGCGTAGAGGCAGGAGAACCTCTTGGCTATATGGTGATTGGTAGGCCAGCTTGAGCTGTCTTAGAAAATGAAAACAAACAAACAAAACAACCCTCAAAACAAACAAAGTCGCCGGGCGTTGGTGGTGCACGCCTTTAATCCCAGCACTCGGGAGGCAGAGGCAGGTGAATCTCGGTGAGTTTGAGGCCAGCCTGGTCTACAAGAGCGAGTTCCAGGACAGCCTCCAAAGCTACAGAGAAACCCTGTCTCGAAAAACCAAAAAAAAAAAAAAAAAAAAACCAAACAAAGACAAAAATCCCTCCAAACTAAAATCCAAGAAGAACAAAAAAAGTAGTTTAGAATGATTGTGCCTATGTTGTGATATATAATATCACTTTGTTTGGAAATAGCCTTCAAATCCCCATACCTTTTGACATTAACATGGCATTACAAGCAAACTTCCATACTGTGAAACTGGGTAGTAGGTATGTTGGAATAAGGAGCTCAACCTAGGTAGAGTTCAGAGATAGTTTTTAATTACTCTGCAGTTGTTTAAAGCCTAATCCAGGAGCAGACCGACTTGGGTTTTCAGTCCTTCTAGGATCTCTTATTCTAATTGTGTGAGATGGGCAAATTAATCTCTTCAAAGCTCAGCTGCTTCTAGTGTGGAAAGGAAGATAACAACAGGCCCCACTCCAGAGGAGTGGACACATACTCGATAAAGATTGTTTCTTAGAGGCCTTCATTATTCTCATTATCTTTACTGCCTTTCCCTTCACTAATTAAAAAATACTGTAACAATTTGTATTTTTAGAGTTTTATGTGTTTGACTAAAGACAAGCTGTCATTCATCCTAGGTTACATCAAAAGGAAGAGGATGAACTTTCAGTGTGAGTCAAACTTGCACAGGATACTTCTTATATAAATATTTCCTCTGGAAATGAAAATAGGAGAAAGGATCCCCTATGGACTCAATTTACTCCTAATCTTCGTTTTAGTAACCCTTTCTCTTTCCTAAGTAACTCCTAATGATCCAGTAATGCATTGCAGTGACAGCATGCCAGAGAAGGTGTCCTCCCTGGGCCTGACATTTTCCTTCATGGTAATTCTGACTAGTTAAGGTAAACAGTGTGAGATGTTTGGCATGTTTCCTTTCATAAATGGCAGTGTGTATGAGAGGGGGATGGCGAATGAGGAAGGCACTGTGAAAATGGCAGATTCATGCTGTGTAGCACTGTAGAAGCGACAGAGTAAAATATCCAGAAACTCTTACCAATGGGACAGTTGATGAATTGGAGGCATTTCTCGATTGCTCTTTAGATTAACAAACATCCTGGAAGGTTTCAGATTTAAAGAGCAAAGTTCTATATCTTAAAACAACAGAGAGACATGCTAAGATACTCTGAACCAAATATTGAGGATGATTTTTGTGTCTCTCCCTTTGAGATCTACTTTAGTAGTTAAGTACTTGTGTGTTCTCTACCTGAATTAGAACTCATCTGACTTAGGATCACAGGTTTACAGATGAGGAAATAGGGTCTGGCCTGGTACGGCCCTTCATAGCTGCTAGTACTGTTTCATTTCATGCAACACTTGATCTCTTGGCATCCCTAACACATTTACAGAATTCATTTTGGAAGGTACATTGAAGTCACAGACAGGCCTCTTGAATTTCCCTCTAAATTGAAAAAGAAGTTTTATATATTGTGTGGCTCATGAATTAAGACCCCTTGCTCTGAGTGACAGTTTGGAGAAGACTGCTATACAGTATTTTGCTTGAAAGTATCTGGAAGTGGGTACGTGATTGATTTGCTGACAGACCATCTCTGAAAGCAGTTCTAATGATGGACTTATAATTGATTGCATCCATCATTGAGAGCCTAAACTATTCCCCTCCCTAAATTAAAAAAGATAAATGAAATAAACTAGGCTGAATGTATAAGCTGACAAATCTGAGGGAATTTAATGAAACTCTAAATTGCCACAGGGAGCAGATAAGAGAAAAAGGTTTCTTTATTATAATACTAAATTAAAAAATTATCCAAGAAAGATAATGGAGGAAACAAAGATCTGTGGCCCATGTATCAAACTGAGTTATTGAAAGATTTTTAATAAGTGCACCTATCTCATTGTCTGGTTATTGTTGATTCCTATCAATCTTGTTGGTGCTGTTTGAAGAATAGTGAATGCAGGCTCTGTCTTGTAGTGCAGCTTAGGTTATTGCTGTTGTAATAGATTTTAGAATTAACATGACCTTATCCCCAGGCTGTTGGGGGCTCTGTTCCTATTTCAGGCCATTCACATGAGCTCTTTTGAAGTTGCTGAAAGACTCTCTCCCTTAGTACACATCAGCCACATATGAAAGAAGGCTACCTAGAAGTGACTTAAAACAGTGATATTTTTTATCTCCTTTAGCAAGAAGTCTTGAGGGGTGTGGGCAGCTTCAGGGATAACTCCTTCATGTTATCCACACACACAGTTGTAGTAGCATTTACTATGCCTTTTGTTCCACAGATGACAGAGTGTTTGAGAATCTCAGCTCTATGTGTCAGTGTCCTGGGCTGGAGAAGGGTCCTTTTTCTAGATGTTTTGTAGGTTTTGTTAGCCAGAGTTGTAAGAAGAATGGACCTGTTAGGAATTATCATGATTCTTACCAATCAAGAGCTGCCCAGCTTCCCTCATATCTATGTGATCTGTTCTGATTAATATAATTTCAGGGTTCAAGAGGATAGATGAAGGGTGGGCTCTGTGGCTGGGCAACCTGTGCGTGTACTTAGCTGGGTGCTGGAATCAGCCTTAAAGTTAGTTTGTATCTTGTTTGTAGTATGAAGATGCTGGTGTATTGACTGGGTACTGCTCTTCTGATTGTTGCTTTGAAGTTTGATAGCCACGTGACTTGATAAATTTTGTCTTCATCAGGACTTTGTCTACTAGTGATGATGTTGAGGACAGAGAAAATGAGAAAGGTCGCCTTGAAGAAGCCTATGAGAAGTGCGATCGTGACCTGGATGAATTGATCGTTCAACACTACACAGAATTGACAACGGCCATTCGAACTTACCAGAGCATCACAGAGCGTATCACTAACTCACGGAATAAAATCAAGCAGGTGAGCTTCCTTTCCTCCTGTCTGGCAATGGTCACCTTCCTTTACAGATGTGGTTTGCAGCAGTGCTACAGTAGTGCCTAATGACCCTTGACCAGTGATTCATAAAGACAGTTTATGGAATTTTGAAAAGCTATTGTTTTCTGAGTACCCTGCCTATAGTACCTGAAGGACAAAGTGAATTTGTAAGTATTGCTTTTATATTTGGTCAGCATCTGAAAGATAAAATAAAACAAAACAAAAGGCTACATACCATCACATCAAATTTTTATAGTTCTTAGCTATGCATTTTTATTTTTATTTTTATTTTTTTGGTTTTTTTCAAGACAGAGTTTCTCTGTATTGTTTTGGAGGCTGTCCTGGAACTCGCTCTGTAGACCAGGCTGGCCTCGAACTCACAGAGATCCATCTGCCTCTGCCTCCCGAGTGCTGGGATTAAAGGCGTGCCCCACCACCGCCTGGCTACATTTTTTTTTTATTGTGTGTGTGTGTACATATGCACATATGTGTATAGGTGTGCATTTGTATGTATGTGTATCTGTGTGTCTGTGTATGGAGGCCAGAGGTCAGTATTGGTTATCTTCTTGTTTCTTGTATTATTTTCTTCTTCTCCTTCTTTTTCTTTTCTTTTTTTTTTTTTTTTGAGACAAGATCTCACTGTATCTGAAGGTCCCTGATTCAGATATACTGGCCTCCCAGCAAACTTCATGGCTTTACTTGCCTTTGTCCATCTGGCACTGGGGTTACTGGCGTGTGCCCCTATGCACAGCTTTTATGTGGCTGCTAGAGATCTGAACTCACGTAGCTATTCTTGTGCAGTGGGTACTGCCCACTGAGCCACTTCCTGAGTCCCTAGGCTGTGTATTTGGAGGATCACTCCTTTAATACTTTCTTGTACTGTTCTTTGATAAGTAACAGTAATTGCTACCTATATTAATCACTGACTTTTTTTTTGTTGTTGTTGAGATTTAGAATGCGAACTCAGGGCTCCCTGACTCTAAAGCCCTTACTGTCATTTTTTCCCCCAGTAAAATTTCAAGCAGTGCCTTTCACCCTTAAAAAATAAGTATGAAACATGCAGAACTCCAATGCTTCACCTCCTTATTGGCAACTGCCTCTCAAGCACCTAGGGGAGATTGGGTTCAGTGCAGACTGTTCTTTGAATCTGCTATGTGGGCTGTGAGATGTGGACGACTCCCTAACTTGTTCCAGCCCAGGAACAGCTGTGCTCATGGTGTTACATCCTTTCTTGTCCTCCAGACCTTTTAGTAGAATTTTGTAAGCAGTGCACACATTATATTTCTCAGACACTGTGGATGTGAGTTTCAGCCTCTTAAGAGTCCAGCTCTAGAGCCAGTAAGCTCTTAACCTTTTCTGAAGCAATCTCTTTGCATTTTAAAAACAACTGGCCAATTTTGAAAGGAATACTTTAATTCTTTGCCTTTAGATGTGGTAATTTCCTCCTATGGATTTATCTCTGAAACTGGATGAAGCTGTAGATGAGTTGCTCTTACGTAGAACAAACTCCAGTCCATTTTGGCCCAGTATAGTAAGCTCAAGAGAGGCCAGGAAATGCATGACTGGTACTGCTGACCTCCTGGCTTTCCTTGGATAATCACAGGAAGGGTGAGGGACCTCTGATTGCTTTGGCTGACTGGAAGGATTTTGTCCTAATCTCCAGGGAGGTGTCAGCAGTGATTACTCTGGTCCTACAACTAAGCATCCATACAATAGCATCATTGTTGGCAACAGAATGTGTTGCTTCTTTTTGGTGCTGAAAACAAGGGCCTCATCTTGAGAGTCTTGCATTTTATAGAAGGCGCACACTATTCTATTTACCATTCTTACTTTCAGTGTACTAAAGTCAGAGTGAAAGAAAGAAAACAAAAGAAGCCTTTATTATGACAGTTTGCAAAGAAAGTAAATGTCACCTGATTCAATGTTAGGAATTAGTGCCAGTATTTGGACAAGAAGTACAGGGTGAAAACTTTGCAAAAAACACTGTAATAATTGATTAATAAGCAAGGAAAAATGCTGGAAAATGAAAGTAAATCTGTTTGTTTCCTTTTTTGATAATTTTGTACCGTAAGCATCCATTTTTTTTTTTTAATGACCAAAGAAGCAGTAATGTTTCCCCACTCATCTTCCCATGCCATTTTTGTTTTTTTTCCCCTACACTTCAGGTTATATACCAGTGATAGGTAGATATTTGTCTCAGGTGAAAATGTGGCTGAGTCAGCCACCATCATCAGGCTGCATTATTCTAGAGCCACACAGGAAGCTGGAAATAGTCAGATCTGACTTGAAGCTTTCCTTCTGTTCTCTAGTGAAGGAATTTGGAGAAGACCGAGTTCATTAATATATCTCTTGAGTGCCAGCCAAGCTCTTGTTCTGTTTTAGGTACTGGTGGATATAAAAAGTGGAAGACACCAGTCCCTGTCCTCATGGAACGTACATGAAGATAGGATACAAACAAAAACAACTAGATTATTCCAGTGTTTGTTTAGTCTCTTTCTCTTGAGTGTCTGCCTTGTGCAGAGATTGTTATTCTAGGCTCTGCAGTATAGAAGTGAAAGATTTCTGTCCCGAGAGTTTTAAGTTTTAGTTTACATTCTAATCAGAACAGACAGACCACATGGCAATAAAAGAAAAATACAAGCAAGGGAATGACTAGGGATTTGCTCTTTTAACAAGGTTGGTCAGGGAAGGCTAGTAGATGAAGAGGATGAGGAAGAGTCTGCTAGTGGATTCTGAGGAAGGAGGGGTAGCAGATGCAATGATCCTGAGTCAGCCAGAGCACTGGTGAGGTGAGAGCAAAGTGCGCAGTCAGGAGAGTGACGTGAGACAATTGAGGGGCTGGTACCTGAGGTATGGAGGGGACTTGCTGCCATAGGTCTGGCAGGTCATCCGAGGGACTCCGATTTTAGTGAATACACTGCTGTACACTTGACTCAAATAGATGAAGATTTCCCATATATATATATATATATATATATATATATATATATATATGTATATATATAATGCATAATTTTAGCCTGTTAGAGGTGGTAAGGTTTTGAATACAGTAACAACATAATGTGGCTAATATGATGTAGGAATATATTTTAAGGTGGAACAAGTCAGAAAAAGATGTGTTCTTATTCATGCATTGCCTTCAATTTTGAGATCACTTCCATATATCCATTTAGATTGTATTTTTAGAATCTATCTCATTCATAATAAATACATGCTGATGGGTTTGACTTTCTTCTCAAGTGGTTTTGAACATTTTACATTGACCAAGTCCATTTGGAAGTTTTTTATAGATTAAAAAATAATCATTGTAAATGAAATACCATATATGACCAATCAGGTCAAGTAATGTGGATAATAAACAAAATTCTGGAGTAATCCTGTTATTGTTGAATATACTGTTAAATTGGCCAAAACAAGATGCCTCAGAATCCATGGGTTCTGCTAGTCTCATGGTGACTGTTACAATGCTATTGACTTTGATGGTCATTAATCGATACAGATTGAAAACTCAAATCATACATGCCATGCTTTGTTGATGTTTCTCTATGATATGTGGGAATATGGGGTGAGTTCAGTGAAGTTTTCTTTTTTTGGTTTTTTTTTTTGTTTTTTCGAGACAGGGTTTCTCTGTATTGTTTTGGAGGCTCTCCTGGAACTCTCTTTGTTCAGTGAAGTTTTCTTTAAACATATTAAGTAGTCAGTCTGATGCCTATCATAGAAGAAGGGTACGCAAAGGGTACACTTGGCTTTGTGGTGTATATATGGACACAACATTTCAATTGGCTGTTTTCTTGGTATTAGATCCCATACTAAAAACTTGCTTTTCTTGCCTTTAACTAGAAATAACTATGAATAATTATTCAAGTGATGTTGTTAAGGGCCCCATTATTCAGGAATGCAACATTCATTACTTAACATTTACCCAAAATGACTTTTGGCTTTTATATGAGAGTATACCTTGAAAGGTAGAATTAAGATGAATAATAGCCTTAATTAATACAAAAAATGTCATAGGAGAACAGTGTATTTTTTTGTAAGGTGTTATTTACAGACTAAATGTTAGTGAAAATTCTTAACTATTTGTGTGAGAAAGGTAAGAAAGCCTTAGGTTTTCAGAAATGGCCATGCTAAACAATGGCCGCTAACAAGAGTTATAATTTAAATATGGAACAGTAGTCTTAAGTGCATTATTGTAGTCGTAGGAACCTTGAGGAAATGTCACCATAAAGTTCAAGGGTTTCTTGATCTGTGTCTGCATCCAGTATCCAAAAAAGGAGGTATTGCCCTTGGAACGAATTGAGGGGAGGTTTTCAGAGAATTTTAAACCTGAGAATGGAAGTTAGAAAAACTAAAGGTGAAACGTGGAAAATTAAACATGGCTGTTGTTTCTCAAGTTTATTCTTTCAATAAACTTTCTATAAACTCTATAAGACAAATTCAATTGGACCCTTCTCACAGTCATGTGTGTATGAAAGCTTTTAGATGTAGATTTGCTTCTACTGCCACAAAAGGGACAGAATAATATTTTGTGTGTGTAAACTAAGTGATATTGATATATTGATTTTTCATGACCATTCCTTGCCCAAGAGAGAACTTCTTAGGTTCCTTCTGGCCCACCGTGTCCTAAGATGCTTGCACATGTGCTGTGCTTTATTATGAGTGTTAGCACTTTCAGAGGGATTTTCTGTATTTCTCTTGATTGGAATTCAGTATTTTTCTGCTTTTGTGTCTTGAAGATTGTGGCCTTCCTGTCTTTCTCTGGGCAGTTATCTATCAGCCTCTCTTAAGTGTGTTTCTGCTAGTTCTCTTACAAAAGCTGAGGCATGTTTGTATTTTTTTTAAAGCCCTAGTTAGTTTTCCTCATTCCTTTATGCCAAAGTTGGGTTACAAAAATTCCTGCTTCTCTGCCATATGTATCATCTTGCATCTCTTTTTTCAGTAGTTGCTTGAGCCCTGTTTTTACTTTCTTCTTTTCTTCTGGCCTCTAATTAGAATGACTTATAGTCGTGTATATTGAGCCTGAAGTTCTTGGTGCTGCTGAACACATGGTTTGGAGCAAATGTCAAGTTAACTGTAATTTTGAGGAAGCAAAGCATGATACCTTGATTTTAACAACTTAGTTTTTCATGAGTTTGTTTATGAATAAAGCAGGGTAATATAATTTTTCAATATTAATTATCCCTATAAATTAGACATAATAGAATGAAAATACTGTCATCACATTTATAAAAATAGAACATGGATTTGAGAAATAAATGTTTATGTGAGTTTGGTACCTTCATGACAGAGTACCTGTTTCATACCCTCAATTAAAAAGACCTTATTTAAATTTATTGTTGTACCATAGTATTTTGGAATTTGAACACATTGTGGAATGGTAACATCAAGTTAATGTGTACATCACCTTCTGTAGATACCATTTCTCTGTAGTAAAACCATTACAGTATCTCTTAGCAATTTTCAAGTATAGAACACATTGCTATTAACTTCAGTCAGCATGTTATACAACACATATTTTGAATTTTCTCCTGTTACCTAAGTAAGAATTTGTATCCTGTGACTAACATCTCTTCAGTCTCATCCTCTGATAACTGTAATTTTCTTCTCTTCTGAGTTTGGCTTATAAAAATGGTCATGTGTGAGTTTCTGTGGTATCACCTTTGGATGCTTGTCTTCTTTCTCTAAGTATGATGCCTTCCAGTTTCAACCACGTTGTTGTGAATGTCAGGATTTCTTTAGAAGATGAGTCATACATTTTTTTAAAATGACAAATGCTGTTCATATGTGCTTTATTATTTTTATTCATTTGTTTGTTGGACACTTACATTGATTCTGTGTCTAGGCTTTTGTGACTAACACTGTATGAACATGGAAGTGCAGATGTCTCTAGACAAACTGATTTTGTTTCCTTTAGATAGTGTAGATGTTCCTTGATTTATGGTTGGATTATATCTAAGTACTCCCATCATAATTGAAAATGCCACAAACTAAAAAGTTCTTTTAATATATCTTGTCCATCGAACTTCCCAGCTTGGCTGTAGTGCACTGTGGAAGGTCCTTTGTTTACTCTTCTGATTGTGTGGCTCTCTGGGAGCTGTGGCTTGCTGCTGCTGACCAGCATTGCTATAGAGTGTCATACAACATAATGCTATCCTGGAAAATGATCACAATTTGAGGGAATGCTCCTATTGAATATGCTCTTATATCATTGTGAAGTTGATATCATAATTTGGAAACTATCTGAATGCCCAGTAGTAGGATTCTTGTTTCATATAGTACTATTGTTTTCTTTTTTAATTAGGAACCTCCATATTCTTTTCTTTCTTTTTCCCTCCTCTCCTCTTCACCCCTCCCCTCCTATTTATTATTGTTATTATTATTATTGTTGTTGTTGTTGTTTGAGACAGCCCTGTCTGTTTATGTAGTCCTGGCTGTCCTAGAACTTATAGATCAGGCTGGCCTTGAACTCACAGACATCTGCATGAGTCTACCTCCAGAATTATGGGATTGAGGGTGTGGTCCCTACCCTGGTTTTATATTATTTCCTTTAATGGTTTATTCTTCATCTTTTTTTTTTTTTTTTGGTTTTTATGAGACAGGGTTTCTCTGTATTGTTTTGGAGGCTATCGGTCCAGCCTGGCCTCGAACTCACAGAGATCCACCTGCCTCTGCCTCCCGAGTGCTGGGATTAAAGGCGTGCACCACCACCGCCCGGCTTATTCTTCATCTTTATTGAGGTTTAGTTTTCATGCAGTAATATGCATATATTTTGATATTACATACCAGTGAATTTGGTGTTTCTCTGTTTGAATTTGTTACTATTGTATCAGAGAATTCACTCCTGTTATGTAGCCCAGGCTAACTTCAGACTTGGCTATTGTAGTCCAGGCTGGCCTCAAAGTTAGTCTCCTCCTGCCTCAGCTTTCCTAATACTTAGGTTACCCAGTGTGCACTGCTACATGTGGCCTTCTGCTTCTTATAGTCCGTTCTCATCCACATCCTGCTGTGCACAACTACTGATGTACAGTCTGTCACTGGATTAGGTTTTCCTGTTGGGGAACTCATATACATGTCCGTATTGCAACTTTTCTTCTTTTCTTATAATGCTTTTCTTTTTTGTTGCTGAGTGACTCGATTTTCCATTTGTCAGTATTTTCTAATCAAAAGTAAAAGACTCAGGATAGTTTGGTAGTGTGGTGTATTGAAAGAAAATGGCCCCAACAGGGAGTGGCACTATTAGGAGGTGTTGCCTTTGTAGGAGTGTGTGTGGCCTTGTTTGAGGAACTGTGTCACTGTGGGGGTAGGCTTTGAGGTCTCCTTTGCTCAAGCTATACCCTGTGAGGCAGTTCACTTCCTGTTGCCTGTGAGATCAAGATATAGCTTCTCCAGTCTTAGCTACTTCTCCAGCACCAGGTCTGCCTTCATGCCGCCATGTCTCACCATGATGATAGTGGACTGAAGCTCTGAACTGTAAGCCACCCAATTAAATGTTTTCCTTTATGAGAGTTGCCATAGTCATGGTGTCTCTTCACAGCAACAGAAACCAACTTTCTTGTGGTTTCTTATATTTCTACCTTGTTACTTAAGTTTAGGGAATGATCTTGGTCATGTCCATTTTATGTACAACCCAATGTTGGTTTGTTTTCCTGCCATTCTATCTATTTTGACTTTAGTATCTATGTAGTGAACTAAAGTGGGAAGTGATTCTACTTTTAGTATGTGTATACGCTGGCATGAAATTTCATAATGGTCTTTTCCCATCACACAGGAATTTACTAAACTTGATTGACACTTTGTAAGTTTATCCCTCACCTGTGATCAAGAGCCTAGTTGGGTGTTCTGACAAAATTTATTTTTACCTACTTCCATGGGAAAGACTAGAATTGTAGAAGTAAGGTCATAGCAGAATATCAGAAATCAAATTCTAACAGATTTTTAAAATGTAATGAGATCAGTAACAACTACTTAGATCAAGAATACAAGGGAATTTATGAATAACCTTGAGAGATATTTAAGTCAAAACAAGAACTAATGATAAAAACAAGGCTTCCCTTTTTTTCTTGCCAGGTCCCAAGTGTAAAGAATACAGGTGTTCAAGAGTAACAAACATGCAGACTCTCTAGGGGGATGGGCATGCCTCATACTGTTGGAAGTTTGGATTCTATGGGTGTACATGGCTGTCAGAATACACCACGTCTACACTGGAGTTGCAGTCACCTCAGGGGAAATAGAGACAAAAGTAAACAAATGTTGAGCCCCAAATAGAAGCCTAAGCGAGGACCGTCAATAGTGTTTGAAAGCAGTTATGTGAGTTGTAGATGATAGTGAGTTTAAAAATCTCCCCACAAAGACTCAAGTGTGGCAGCACATGCTTGAGTCCTACCTAGTGCTAGGGAGAAGGAGGCAATAGTATTACTAGGTCAAGGCCAGGGGGTTTGAGCCAACCTGAGCTACATGAGACTGTCATTTTGTAAAAATTCACTTTCCATGTTTGAAACATTGAGGGTTTTTTTTGTTGTTGTTGTTTTGTTTTTTTGAGACAGGGTTTCTCTGTGCCTTTGGAGGCTATACTGGAATTATCTCTTGTAGACCATGTTGGTCTTGAATTCATAGAGATCCAACTGCCTCTGCCTTCCCAGTGCTCGGATTAAAGGCCCATGCTACCACTGCCCGGGAACATTGAGAATTTTATAGGATAGAAAATAATAACTTTTACGATGTGATTGTGATTAATGTCCATTTTTCAATCCCCTTTCTCCCAAAACTTTTCTACCTTTAATCATATTTTTTGTCTGCAGCAGTTAAAATGTTAGATTCACAGAATGCTGTAGATTGTCTATTTAATATCAAATTTGCTGAATGATGATTAAAAGTCTGTCATGTGTCTTTGAGATTATCTCTACATGTGTTTACTCCTTTTTCAAGGTTGGGCCTAATTTTCTTGTGGCCATTTGGGAAAAGCACTGAGTTCCTTGGTAATAAGCTGGCTGGAGTTCTATCGCTGTAAGCATGGGCACTGGGGCTTTCAGCTGCAGGGGAGTTGGGGAAGGAATGCTAGCACTAGACTCTCGTACTGCTCATTCCCCTGTTGAAGAAGATCCACATTTATATGGTGCTTCATATTGTCAGAGTTCCTTATATCCATTGTAATTATTTCTAGATTCACTCAAAGGTATGGTAGAAGTAGTTTCTCATTTCATGGGAGAAAAAAGAAACACAGAGAGGTAGTGATGCCCCCAAGTGACCAGAATCAGGGTTAGAATTTAGTAAGGGAATCAACCAAGGGGAATAAGTGGGCGGGAATTAGGAACTGTTACACACACAGGACCAATGAGGAATCCTAACCAGGATAGTGGTTTAGGCTGGCAAGATTTTGAATTGACTGAAGATTCAATATGTTTTATTATAGGTAAAAGAGAATCTACTTTCCTGTAAGATGCTGTTGCACTGCAAACGGGATGAGCTTCGTAAACTGTGGATTGAAGGAATTGAGCATAAGCATGTACTGAACCTGCTGGATGAAATTGAGAACATCAAGCAAGTGCCTCAAAAACTGGAACAGTGCATGGCCAGCAAGCACTACCTTAGTGCCACTGACATGCTGGTAAGAGCAGCCTGTGCAAAGGCTCACTTCTGCAAAGATATTAAAGCTCTCTTCTTTCTGCATATAGCATGGTACAAACTGCCCTTGGATTCTCAAGCCCTTGCAGGGGAACCCTAGCTAGTTCTCTTCCTGCAGTTTTTGAAATGTTAGATTGTTATTATGTATATATTTTCTGCCCTTTGAACCAAAGCAGGAAATGTAGTGGAAAGAAATCAGTACTAAAATCATGTTGAAATGGTAATGAGAGATTGCTTTTTTAGCTTTAGAGGATGATCATGAATTTTATTTTAGAGTCTGAAATCTGTGTGACATAGACTTGAAGATTTGTAAAGTTAGGTGTTCCATAAAGGTTTTGAAGTCATGTTTTGATTGATTATAGCTTTGTTTTGTTTCTTTTACCTGGTGGTAAAGAAAATGACTTCTTTGATACTAATCTTAGAAGTACCTTTACAGTGCTGGATGCTCCATGACCTGGTGTTCTGATACTTTTGAATTAAAAGAAGTTCCTAGAGGGTGCAATTTGTGGTGAATGTCAAGCCAGACTTTAATCCCTTTTGGACCTGACTTTTCTAGGGCTGGTGGCTTTTCTGGAGGACTGTCCTATCTTCTTGCCCATTAACACACATCCATATCTCAGTAGAAGTCTACAGAAGCACTCAACAGCAGCTTTGCTAGATATGAGTTTTTCTCTTATCCACAATGAGGGCAAGTTCTTTATCTTTGTTTTACAAATTATGTTTGTGAAAAGACTGATGAACTTGGTGGAAACTTTGAAGAAATAATTCATTCACTTCCATTAAGAATTTTGCTGGGATTAAAGGAGTTTGAGTCTCAGGGTGAGTTCCAGGACAACCAGAGCTACACAGAGAAACCCTGTCTTGAGAAACAAACAAACAAACACCCCCCCCCCCAAAAAAAGAAAATAATTTTGCTTGAAAGGATAACCAGCTGATAGCCCACAATCCCAGAGAAGCTAGGTAACAAAGAGGACCTTAAGAGAGATAGACATACCTGGATCCACCTAGGAAGGTTAAATAGGCATGATTTTCTGAGTAAATAGCGTTTGAGGGAGGGCAATAGTGAAAGGGAGAACAGGAGGGAACTGGATGGTTGAGTTGAGGGAAGGACAGAGAGAGAGCAAGAAAGAATTATCTTGATAGAGGGAGCCATTGTTGAATCACTGAGAAATCTGGCACTAGGGAAATTCCCAGGAATACACAAGGATGACCCCAGATAAATCTCTAAGCGATAGTGAAGAGGGAGGGTGCCTGGACTGGTCTTCCCCTGTAATCAGATTGAGGACTACTGTAATTGTCATAGAACCTTCATCCAGTAACTGATGGAAGCAGATGCTGAATACACAACTATCCACTGGGTCAAGCTCCTGGGGTCCAGTCAGAGAGAGGGAGGAGCAAATAATATGAGCAAAGGGGTCAAGAGTAGGTTGGGAAAACCCACAGAAACAACTGACCCGATCTGGTAGGAGCTCACTGACTCTGGACTGACAGTTGGGGAACCTGAATGCAGGTGACAGTGGGTGACTTGGGCAGTTTGTGAGGCTACTGGCAGTGGGACCAGGGTCTATCCCTAATGCATGAATTGACTTTTTGGAGCCTATTTTCTATGAAGAAATACCTTGCTCAGCCTAGACACAGTGGGGAGGGCCTTGGTCTTGCCTCAATGTGGTGGTGATGGGCCAGACTTCACTGACTCCCCATGGGAGGCCTTACCCTCTCTGAGGAGCAAATGGGGGAGGGAAAGGTGGTTGAGGAGAAGGTGGGAGGAGGAGGGGAGGGAGGGGGAACTGAGATTAGTACGTTTTAAAAAAAAAGAATTTTTCTGGAAGCTGATCACAAGGCTAAAGCAAGAAGACCACAAATCCAAGGCCCACTCAGGCTACAGAATGAGCTTGAGACAGTCTTTACAAGTGAGTAAGACCTTGTCTAAAAACAAAACAAAAACAACAAAAAAAACTGAAATAGATGCCAGGTGGTGGTGGCACACATCTTTAATCCCAGCACTCTGGAGGCAGAGGCAGACAGATAGGTATCTCTAAGTTCAAAGCCAGCCTGGTCTACAGAGTGAGTTCCAGGATAGCCAGGACTACAAAGAGAAACACTGTCTCAATCCCCCCCCCCCCAAAAAAACCTTATTTTTGCTAGAAGTTTGCTGTAAAGAGTTTCAAGTTGGTAACCAAAGGGTGAAAAGTCTTAGTATTTTATCACATATAAGCCAACTGAATCATCAGTTTTAACAGTACACAAGGAGTACTGGTGTGGTGAAAGAGTCTTGGTGTAGTAAAAGAATTAGGTTTTTTTTTTTACTGTGTGTGTGTGTGTGGATGTTGGTGCTTTTGTTTTTTTTGGTGCTTGTCATTGAATGTAGGGCCTTGCACATGGTTGATAAGCACTCTGCCCTCAGCCACTAAGCTGTGTCTTCAACCCCTTTTCTATCATTTTTTTACCCCTTAAGACGGTTTTTCTTGGTAGCCCTGGCTGTCTTGGAACTCATTCCATAGACCAGGCTGGCTTTGAACTCAGAGAGATCTGTCTGCCTCTGCCTCCAGAGTGCTGAGATTAAAGGTGTGCACCACCACTGCCTGACATCTATTCTAGTTTTGTTGAGACAAGGTCTTACTCACTTGTTAAGACTGTCTCAAACTCATCTGTAGTCTGAGTGGGCCTTGGATTTGTGGTCTTCTTGATCCAGCCTTGTGGTCAGCCAGGATTGCAAACCTGCATGGCTAGGCCAGCTTTTTTCCAGCATCTTGTTACAATGACATCATAGTTCATAATGACTGGGCTGTCCAACAGCAAAAAATTACTTTTCAGCGTTAGTGTTGATTTATGCATATTTTGCTAAATTATCCAGGTTTAGCAATTAGAATAGATAAGCTTTTATATGTTTGTGGACCATATATACAGCTGCTTTTATCCAGTCATTGTTTTGGTGTGTGTCTGCTTTTAATTAAATGGCATGTGTTAGAATGGGTTGTTAGGGTTTATTTAGGTTAATTATGTTTATTTTAGGATTTCAGAATGTTCTTTTATAGCCCTATTACTTATGGGCTAATTTATTTATTTAAAAGCTTAAAATGAGTATTGCCCTTCCCTTCACTAATTTTTGCTCAGGTCTTAATTAAATAACTTCATCAAATTCTTCGTTGTAATTTATAGATTTATATTTATAATTTATAGAAATTAGACTATAGTTTTTCCTTGATGTAACAAACACCTGAGATAAATCACCTCATAAGAATTAGGTTTATTTTGGTTTATAGTATAAGAGGTTTCAGTTCATGGTTCAAGGCATATCACCACTATCTTGAGAGCATGTCTCAGAGGAGGTTACTAGGAAGCAAAACGAGACAGGAAGGGACTGGGGCCCTTTGAAGTTATGGCTCCAGTGGTCTAGTTTCCAAAGGGTACTACCTCCTCAAGGTTCCCTCACTTCCCAATAGTGCTGTAGACTGGGAACTACTCCCTTAACACTTGGCTCTTTAGGCAACATTTGGGGTTATGATGGGGGAAGTCCTTCTGTGTATATGTAAATAAAGCACTGTTGGCCAATAGGGAAGCAAGATAAGTGGGACTAGGAGTCGAGGAGGATTCTGGGAGTGTAGTGAAGAGTAGGGAGTCGCCAAGTGATTTCTCAGGAGGAGAGGACGCGTCAGGAGGGCATCCTTGGAAAGATAAGTCCTTATAAAAATATATATTAGTAATTATGGGTTAATAATTAAGTCAGAGTTGTCCAATGAGAAACCATAGCAAACGGCCAACAACTTCATAATTAATACAGTGTCTTGTGTGTTATTTGGGGGCTGAGACAGCCATGGGACCCAAGCAGCTGGTGGGAAGAATACACGTTAAAGTGGGTTCATGTATACAGTCTGCTAAAAGGGCAGAGGCATACTTAGAAAGCCACCTGTGTGTTCTCTATGCATGTCTTCATTGTTTTCTTCTACTTCCATGTCAACTTGATATGTGGAGTTTCTGTATAAGAACCCCAACTGAAGAATGGTCTAGATGAGATTGGCCTGCCTTTGTGTTTGTGAGGCGTATTCTTAATTGCTATTTGGTGTAGGTGGGGCTGTCCCATTGCAAGGTGAAATTGAGGTGTGTATGAAATATGAAAATAGCTGAGTATGTCAGAGGAAGCTAGCTAGTAAGCAGCCTTCCTCCATTGATTTCTGTTTCTAGTTCCTGCCTGTAGTTCCTGCCTTGGTCTCCCTGGATGATTGATTACAGCCTGTGAGCTAACATGAACCCCTTTTCTCCCCAAGTTGTTTTTAGTTGTGGTGTTTGTCATAGCAACAGAAAACAATCCAGGACAATTGGGCTTAAGTGTATGGGGACAGAGTTAGGTGTTTGTATTTTGGTGGAAGACAGCAAGGGGTATAGGTAGAAAACTTCATCTATCCAGTTGCAGAAGGGAACAACCTATTTATTTATTATCTTTTTTAACTGATTAATAGAAGTCTAAGACCTATGCTGAACCAGATGGTTGTAGTGATCATCATTTCTAGCTAAAATCTTTGTGTCTGGGATGGATAGTCCCCTCTTGTAACATGAAAAATAAAAGACCCAGCTACAGATATTGGGGTTCAAGCTTCAAGCTTAAGGTAAAAAAAACAAAGGAGCAGGTTACTAGTTCTTACTACTACCTCAGGCTGATTCTGCTGCCTCTCCTCAGTGTGGCTGGAGAATCCTGAGACTTCAGTGTCTTCCTGTCTTCAGTGTGGCTGGAGAATGAATCCCTCCTCTCCTCTGTGTCTGGAGAATGAATGCCTGATCCTGACGCCTTGCCCCTGTCTTACATACTTCCCTAATGCTGAGATTAAAGGCGTGTGATCCCAGGTGCTGAGATCATCTTTGTGTGAGCTGTTTCTCTTTAGGACTGGATCAATCTTGGGTAGATCTGGGTGGCCTTGAACTCATAGAGATCTGTCTACCTCTTAATTCTGAGTCCTAGGATTAAAGGTATGTGCCACCTCCTAGCTT